TAACTACTAAAGGTACACATTACATATACATATAGCGGTTATACTTAAATAAGTATGGGCATGATGTAGGACACCAGACACGCGATTTAAATAACCCGAAAAAGTATATTATGGGTACGTTCCGAAATTCAACCCAGTACACTGGCAAATGCAAACGACGTCATCAATTGACATTATATTGTACCTGCGTGCCGCCGCCATATTGCGTCGGATATCAGCCACAATAAAACAATTTTTAATTGTGTGTTCGCTGAATGAAGCTTGCCAGAATTTGTTTTTATTTATTCAAATACAAAAAATTATAGAATAATTGCTGGTATCTCCATTAGGAAGATATAATGATTTTTGGAGCACAAAATGACAAAATAATCGCCAACCCTTTTCCAATATGGCGTAAATGTATGACGTCATATACTGTCCTATGTTTTGGAACGAATCACCAGTATAGCGTCGATTCATGACGTCATTTGCATTGGACGGTACACTGGGTTCTATTTTGGAACATACCCTATGTACACCTATATTGTGTCCCTACATACCTTACTATGAAACTTAGGAAAACAGTTAATAGACCACAGCAATTAAACCGTGTGTGGTTTCTGCTGTAGGGCTAAAACAATCCTGTTGTGTATCAGTTTGTTTCTTTTATTTTGAATAATAAAAAAGAGCTTATCTCTAGAGCTACAACGACTTAATTTAATTCATATCAAAATATTTTTGTTAGCAACGTAATTTAACTGAAGTACCAGTGGATTTGAGCAAGCAGGGTAAAGTTAGTAAACCTATTCGCATTTTACTTTGAAATACATTTACAAGATTAATGTTCATTTTAGAAGGGCGAAAGAGGTTCCCTTTTTATTTATTTTGAATCAGAATACATTTATTAACATAACCTTATAATATACAACATTAATTGAAATAATAAAAAACTAAAACCATCTTATAGTTATACTTCCCACGGTAAAATGCCAAGAACGCTGGTTACGATTCCACTCTGAATGGCTATACTTAGCCGAGTATAGAACTCTTGTCACCAACGGATACAGTTTCTTACGGAGCAGTTAGCACGTGGATCCCATCGACCGATAGTTCTAATATAATAATGCCACAAACATGTTCACATCGCTCAGGTACTCATATTTGCATTATTTACTTAATTCAGCCGCTCCTGACGATACAATATACAAGGTACGTTTGAGATGAAAAACTGTTAAAATGACTACGCATGTAGCATTCCAACATATGACAATGCCTCTCCCCAAATGTGGCAGAGTTATTATACTGTCGGTTTTCCTGCTGATCGGATTAAATTAATATATTTTGATATCCCTGTTTGTAAAACAGTAATTAAATGAGTGTAAGAGTGGTAAACGAGCACGACTCCACCAGATGGTAAGTAAATAAAAAATTACATCTGTCTTCGATTGAAAATCAAAATGAAGATACGTTGTCATTGTTGTTACCAGTATAAAGAGTCTTCAGTTCTCTATACTCATCATACGAAAAACTGCAGAAAAAAGCTACTATTGTTCGCTGCTATACTGTAAGATCGTGTTCCTTCTTCGATCGAGCCGAACTAATCGCACATTGTTTTCATCACTACGAGTATGTAGCGGCCGCTACCCTATATCGTTATTCATCATCTTTCCGTGGGTATTGTAAGAGGTAACAGATAGAAATAAAACAGAAGATTGTCAGTACCATCCTCTTGATAACAACTCAAAATAATAAAAATGCGTTCGCTAACCAGCCTGCCGAGCGTGGCAAGTGAGACAAATGTGCTCTTACATAGCATCTGACCTATGTATGTTTAGCAGTAGACGGATGATGATGAGTCTTGAACTAGAATCGCCTTGCTTGCCAGGTGGATCGGCGATCGAAGTACCAGACGTCTCGCACCGTCGAAGCTGTTTCTAAGGATTTGGTAAACAAGACAAACTTGACGTGCGAACTCTTAACGAACCATAAGTTTTATCAAATAAATATATAATATAAATATATAAGTTTTATCACCTATATATAGATAAAACAGGTTTTTACAAAGGTAATGTACCTTTGTAAATACCTGTCTGTCACGCTTGTCACCTAAAGGGGTAGGCAGAGACTACGGACACCAAATTGGCACGATTCTGATACATCTTGCATTATTTGCATACATTACCTGAGCATATATGGATATTAAGGGTACTCTTAATATGGTCTAAATTTAATATATCGCTAATTTTGTCGATAAACATTTTAGCGCTCCTCACTATTTCTGCCAATCACTTCTGCAACATAAGTTTGCTTTGACACTCTTTCCTCGTTCATTCCTTTTACATCACTAAACCACCAAAGCATACCTTTATTGATCCTGGTCATCATATCGTTGACCACACTTTTATCTTATTAACAATTTTCCCTCATCCTTTCATTCAGATCAGCTTTAACATACTTCTTAATGACCTTATTTTTACGGCATTCATTCTACTGTCGTGCTTCTTCTGCAACATCCAACTTTCACTAACATAAATTTAGGTAGTTAGCAAAGGTGTTTTGTAATATTATATATTAACCCCTTATATATTTTACCATATGCTATGCAAATTATTATATAAAATATATTGCATAAAAAACAATCATCAAATGCGGTTCATAATTGGTGAAAATATCGCGTAACATGCACATTAAAAAAGTTGGCCTTCACGGACGCCCTTTAGATCTAAAATATCATAGTTGATGGTAAAGTTTATGAGTAATACAAAGACAAAGAAATAAGGAGTAAAATAAATAAATAAAACATATTTACATTTACAAAATCTTATTATCTTATTTTTCTTATTATAATAATAATTAATATTATTATTTTTGGGGTATCTGTATAGTTTTCACATCTGGTTGGTTTCTATAAATATATAATTATAAATTAAAAGGAAAAGATAAATATACATAAATATCAATAAAATAAAATACAAAAAAATACACAAATAAATAAAGATCCTAACCAGATGGAAGCCCTCGGCAGGGGAGACCAAACGGCCGAGGGTTAGGGGGAAAGGGAAAGAAACCGACGGACGATGCGGGCGGTATCGAGGACCACCGCCTTCTGCATTTGAGCCCGGAGCGGTCCGTCACGGAGTCCCAGTCGCCTCAGATGGCCCGAGAGGCTGGCTGGGATTAGCCCGTTTGCAGAAACGACTACAGGAATAATTTCGGTCGGCAGACCACCCCACATGTCGGTCACCTCGTGTGCCAGGTCCAGATATTTTGATTGCTTATCTGTTTCGGCTTTCACGAGGTTCTCGTCATACGGAATGGTAATGTCGACCAAAAATATCCTTGACTGTGCCCGGTCCATCAGCACAATATCAGGCTTTTTGCAGCTCCCGGCAGTAGAGCCTTCAGCAATCCGGAAGTACTTGTAATACGGCAATTTCCGGTCCACGAGACCGTATTTCAGAGCGAGCGCCTGGTGTAGAATTCTGGCTACTAGGTTGTGCCTGTGCAAGTACTCAGAGTTAGAAAGCGCCGAACAACCGGAGATGACATGCCTAAGTGACTCCCCGGGATGGCGACAAGCTCGACAGACGTCGACGGTGCCATCCTTTAGGATGTATCTCCGATAGTTGTTGGTCTTAATAACCTGATCCTGTATTGCACAGACAAAACCCTCGGTTTCCCCGAAGAGGTCACCGAAACGTAGCCAGTTGAGGGAGGCGACTGTATCTACGAAGGGCTCATGTAGAACCCTGTAGTACCTCCCGTGGAGCTCCTTCTCCTCCCATACGGTCTCCCGGTCGGAAATGCTAAGCACTGCTGGGTCCTGCCATTGCTCGTTGGCCAAGGATAGAGGGGTAAGCCCTTTATCACTAGAAATGACGTCATTATAGAATGGATCATCCGATCTCGCCAGGAAGTAATGACGGAGGCTGCACACTTCACGATTATGCATAGTGAGCGCGCTTAGAAAGCCACGCCCACCCTTCCAATACCCTTACAACTCGGATGATGCATCCTATGTTCTCAGGGCGATTCATTGAGTCCACCTGAGTATGCCAAGGTAACATAAGGACAGGCATGACCCAACCGAGCGTGTGTCTTATTCACACCGGACAAAAGGCTATTAAGCACTTTGGTCAAGCGTGCATAAAACACATCGCAAACTGACTGTTTCACACCAGCCTCATCGATACCGATGCTCTGTGACATACCCAGGTATCGGTATGTTTCAGCCTCGGAAAGGGTCCTTAAGTTGACGGGCATAGATAAATCTATGCCCTCAGAGTTAGCAACCCTTCCCCTCTCAACATGTAGGACCGCACACTTATCCGTCCCCAGCTCCATTCCAATGGAACTGCTAAACTCACAAGTGATTTTTAGCAATTCCACAAGATGGGCGGCTAGGCAACTTAAGGTCATCCATATAGAAAAGGTGGGTCACTTTTTGTCCCTCCTTTCCGTAGCTGAAATCACCTCTACCGGATCCCTCCAGTAAGGTACTGAGAGGGTTCAGGGAGAGGCAGAACCAGATTGGACTCAGACAATCGCCCTGGAAGATACCCCTTCTTATCCTTATGTGGTTCTCCGCAGCCATCATCCGCTCACCCAGATGACAAAGGATCGTACTCCACTGCCCCATACACAGCTCGAGGAAGTCTCTCACTGTACAGTCTATCTTGTACAGCTCGAGGACTCTCTTTAGCCATGTATGGGGCACCGAGTCGAATGCCTTTCTGTAGTCTATCCAGGCGGCGGAGAAGTTCCGACGGTTGCGTTTCACCACTTTGCCAATGACCGCGTCAATGAGGAGTGGTTCCTTAGTTCCACGACCACCGCCCCGACATCCATTTTGAGCGCGTGACATCACCTGATTTAGCTCCAGGTGACGAGTGATTCTCGCGCTCAAAATGGATGTCAGTGTCTTATATATGGTGGGTAGACACGTAATGGGGCGGTATTTGCTCGGGTCTGTGGTAACCTGGTCTTTAGGAACCAAATGAGTGATCCCAGTAGTGAAGAGGCTAGGGAGCGACTTCTGGTTGAGAGCCTCTTGAAACTGACGGGCGAGCACAGCGTGACACACCATGAACCCCTTCAGCCAGTAGTGATGCAGTCCGTCGAGTCCCGGACTTTTCCAGTTCGGGGGCTCTACGGACCGCCTCAGCTACGTCATCCGGCGTTATGATGACGGGGTCCATGGGCGTAATACTCGCACACTGACTCGCCACAACTTCCGTCCAAGGGCCCTCGCTGTGGTTTACGGGCTCTGACCACAGGCCACGCCAAAATGCGACAGTGTTAGCCTGATCCGGTCCTGGGCCCGCTCCACATACCTCTGGTCGCTCCAATGATTTGTAGAGCCTCTTCTGATCACTCTGGAAGAGACGATTCTGGTTGAACCGCCTTGACCTCTCGGTAAATCGGCGAATCCGCTTCCCCCAAGCGGCAATCTTTTGCTTCAGGTCGTCTATGCGCTCCGTTAGTTTCTGCGTGATATCCGGCTGGGACAAACTGATATTTGTCCCAGCAAACGCCATTCTAACGGTGCGCACAACCCTCGGTCTATTATTACCCGACCTGAAGCTTATCAGTCTGCCGATAAGGGCCCTTGCCTTTGCGATACGGTCCTCAATTCTTTTTCTCCAGGCTAGGATGGCGCTACTTTGTTTAGTAGCACGTCCAGCCATGGGAAGTTTGGCGCCAATAATACGGCAAGCTGCCACTGCGGCGCCAAAAAAGAACTGAGTCCGTCTCGCAAAGGTCCCGGCTGGCTTCCAAATAGGTTACCAGCATTGGGTTAAGAGTCCTCACGACAGCCCGATTTCGCTTGCTTAGGGGTATGCGGGGAAGTCGCGGTCGATTTTCGAGAGGCATGCTGCGCGTTTCTAAAATCGCCTCTTCCAATATACTCCTCATTTGCTCTAGTTCGTGGGAGACCATTTCATCATCGTCTGAATCACCCACAACTGGAAGATCCATGGCGGCTTCTACTCGTGGCAGCTGGTCTGTCGCCTGAGGAGCCTCATCCCCAGCCGTAGCCAATTCATTCGATGAGGGAATGGCCTCACGTCGTAGTCGTTCGAGCTCGGCATCATCGAATATTTTCGAGCGCATGATGTACCGAACTCGGTCTGCCAGGTTTTGTTCCGTGACGGGAATAGACGGCTCCAGCTCAGCAAAAAAGCAATGCATCCGAGCCCGATACGCTATCCCCGCAGTTTCTTCCCCTTTCGCCCTATAGTACGCCCGCATTGCGTTTGCGTTCATATCTCTTGTCCAACGCATGCGGCGCACTCCACCAGCGGCGGATGCCGCTTGCCGAGTCCGAGAGGACCCTGCCGACATCAAGCCGTCTGGTGGGGATGATGGATGCGGGGGGGCTGTTAGGTGATCTTGCAGCTCCTCGCGCTCGGCTGGCGGCCCGCATGCTGCCGCGTCCAGCGCCAGCTCCAGACGCGCCCCGGCGACCCCCAGGCAGCGGCCCTATACGTTTTCCAATCTTATCCATCATCCATTATTATTATTATTATTATCTGGGTTATTGATAGAGTAATCACATTTGGTTGGGCTGGATAAATATATAAAAGGAAAAATAAATATACTTAAATATATGTAATATACTAACATAAATAAATAAATAATACATAAATAAATAAAGGCCTCACCAGATGGAAGCCCTCGGCAGGGGAGACCAAACGGCTGAGGATTAGGGGGAAAGGGAAAGAAACCGGCGGACGATGCGGGCGGTATCGAGGAGCACCGCCTTCTGCATTTGAGCCCGGAGCGGTCTGTCACGGAGTCCCAGTCACCTCAGATGGCCCGAAAGGCTGGCTGAGATTAACCCGTTCGCAGACACGACTACAGGAATAGTTTCGGTCGGCAGACCACCCCACATGTCGGTCTCCTCGTGAGCCAGGTCCAGATATTTTGATTGCTTATCTGTTTCGGCTTTCACGAGGTTCTCGTCATACGGAATGGTAATGTCGACCAAAAATATCCTTGACTGTGTCCGATACATCAGCACAATATCAGTCTCCGAGCGAGCTCCTGGTGTAGAATTCTGGCTACTAGGTTGTGCCTGTGCAAGTACTCAGAGTTAGAAAGCGCCTAACAACCGGAGATGACATGCCTAAGTGACTCACCGGGATGGCGACAAGCTCGACAAATGTCAGTGGTGCCATCCTTAAGGATGTATATCCGTTAGTTGTTGGTCTTGATAACCTGCTCCTGTATTGCACAGACAAAACCCTTGTTTTCCCCGAATAGGTCACCAAAACGTAGCCAGTTGAGGGAGGCGACTGTATCTACAAATGGCTCATGTAGTAACTCCCGTGGAGCTCCTTCTCCTCCCATACGGCCTCAAGGTCGGAAATGCTAAGCACTGCTGGGTCCTACCATTGCTCGTTGGCTAAGGATAGAGGGGTAAGCCCTTTATCACTAGAAATGACGTCATTATAGAATAGATCATCATATCTCGCCAGGAAGTAATCACGGAGGCTGCACACTTCGCGATTATGCATGGTGAGCGCGCTTAGAAAGCCACGCCCACTATGTGAATAAGACACACGCCGCGTGTGTCTTATTCACACCGGACAAAAGGCTGTTAACACTTTGGTCAAGCGTGCATAAAACACATCGCAAACTGACTGTTTCATACCAGCCTCATCCATACCGATGCTCTGTAACATACCCAGGTATGTGTATTATGGTAGGGTAGGTATATGTGGTGTACGGTATGTTTCAGCCTCGGAAAGGGTCCTTAAGTTGACGGGCATAAATAATTCTATGCCCTCCGAGTTAGCAACCCTTCCCTTTTCAACATGTAGGACCGCAAACTTATCCGTACCCAGCTCCATTCCAATAGAATTGCTAAATTCACAAGTGATGCTTAGTAATTCCATAAGATGAACTTGAGATCATCCATATAGAAAAGGTGGGTCGCTTTTGTACCTCCTTTCCGAAGCTGAAATCACCTCCCATGGCCCTCTAGTAAAGTACTGAGAGTTATTATTATTATTATTAATACTAGCTGTTACCCGCGGCTTTGCCCGCATGGTCACTGGCAAATGAACTATCTATTGCTTTTTGAATTGAAAGTGGTGGAGCCACGTGTTTAAGGCTGCCGAAAATCTAGTTCCCCGGCCAAACCTCAAACCTATTACGCGAGATATTAACTAAAGTGGACTGTATTTGCGATTGCTTCTACGCTTACGTAAAAGCGACTACTATAGCATGCGGTACAATGCACTCGCTCTTCCCTAAACTAAAACTATTACTTGCCAAATCGATGAAAGGAATCCTGCCTGATGAGGAGAACACAGAATTGGAACGGTTAAAACAATTATTAAATATTAATCAGGCAGTAAATTAAGGAATATTGACTCACCGGGGTTCTTCTATCTTTAGAGCACTATAGCGGCGACTTCCGGAACCTCCTCTGGACAGACACTCTGGGGCCCCAGGGGTGCGTCAGGAGAGAAGCGTTGTAGTTCAACGACGGCTGCGGCGGGAAGAAGAGCGACGATATCTCACACGAGGTGAGGCGGGTTCCTGGAGCTCGACTGCTTCCAGGCCAAAGCGGTTTCCACTAGTGAGGTGTTTCCAAACGAGCGCGCGGGAAGAGAGAGCACGCGCGTCGGTCGCGCGTGTCTTATATATCCTCGGCTCCGGTGATTACGCGATGTTCTAGAATCGTCTTCTTTCCCCTCCCACCCCATCACCCCGATGTGTCGATAGGAGGGTACGAATGATATCGTTTTGGAAAGGGATAATGATTCGGCAAGTTCCTACCGTCAAAAATAAAAAAACGCGAATGGTTTTCCGCGCAACCATCTCCCCCCGCCCTTGAAGGATTTCCTTCAAAAAAATAACTAAACAACTAGAGCTAAGATCAACTAACAAATAACTAACTAACGCTAAGATTACCTAAATTCAACTACAATTTTAATCTAAAAATCTAATTTAAATTATGGAAGAGGCAAGGGGCACAAACGGACAACAGGACGTAGGTAAGACCCAACCGTGGTCTTAACGCGAGCTATCCTAATTACTCCGTCGGAACCGGGAAAGACCTCCTCGACGATTCCTAACGGCCAGTGGAGAGGCGGCGTATTCTCCTTAGTGAGTACAACTACAGTTCCTACAGCTAAAGGCTCTGTCGCTGTGTTCCATTTTTGCCGAGACTGCAAAGTATGCAAGTATTCCATCCTCCATCGTTTCCAAAACGATTGCACTAACCGATCTAATAATTTGTGGCGTGCGGAAATGCTAAGTCTGTTCTCATCCATATCCGCGGCGGGTAGATACCTTAGAGGCGTTAAATTCAAAAAATGTGCTGGAGTTAGAGCCAGCGGTTCCGAGGGGTCACTAGATAACGTCCGACAAAGTGGGCGGCTATTCATTACGCATTCAATTTGAGCGAGCACCGTACTTAGCTCTTCGAAGGACAAAATTTGATCTCCTATTACTCGGTATAAGTGGCTCTTTAGACTTTTAATATTAGTCTCCCAATTGCCCCCAAAATGACTCGCGGCTGGGACGTTCAGAGACCACTCAATGCGGTTCTCGGCTAGAATGTGAGCGAACTCCGAATTATAATACTTGCTAGCTAAGAGCTCATGTAGTTCCGATAGAATACGTTTTGCACCGACGTAGTTCGTACCGTTATCCGAATATAATTTACTTACAGGGCCTCTGCGGGATAGAAATCTTTTAAATGCACCCATAAAGCCTGCTGTGCTTAGATCACCCACGAGTAGTGCCCACAGTATGCACTGCTCGAGTAGTTAGACATACGAAAATGCAGACGTAAGCCTTTGTGGATCTTATACCACGCCCGCGAGTGAGCGTGACCTTAAACGGACCAGCAAAATCAGACCCGGTGTGCGTGAAGGGCTTTACTGATTGTATCACTCTGCAAGATCTAAGTTCCGCCATTTCCGGAAATGACGGCTTGGGGCGTGCCCGAAAGCAAGCTATACATCTGTGCACCCGATTGCGTATTAAAGTACGTGCAGAAAGATTCCAATAATTCTGACGCAAGATCGACATCAATAAATCGGGGCCAGCGTGCGAGTTCAATTTATGATGATAATCGACTAATAAGTTCATGATATGGTCTTTACGCGGTAAAACTATAGGGTGCCGTTGGTCGAAACTCAATTGCGAGTTGGACAAGTGTCCACCTACCCTTACAATCCCATCCTGTAAAAATGGATTAAGGCGTTGAAAGGCGCGACTACAAGCTCTATTCGAATGTAATCTTGTAATTTCTTCGGAGAAGTGCGCACGTTGAAGTTCACGTAATACTAGCGACTCGGCATAGTTGTAATCGGATGGTAAGATATACGAACGTCGAGGTAAAAGCTTCGCGAATCGACAAACGTAAATTACGCTACGCAATAATTTCGACCAAGAGGACAAGCGGTTCGCCAGAGCAATGATTGGAGAAACCTCGCTCGAAACGTTCGCCACTAGAGCGTGTCTCTTCTCTTCCGGCGGTTGTGACACTGACGAAGGTTCGAAATCGGTTATTGGC